AGAGCCTTCAAGCATGGAGGTGGTTTATTCGTTTGCTTGGACCATATGGAATTAAGGATAAGCATTTGATAAATGAGATGCTAAAGATTTTGGAACAGACATTCTCAGACTTTAACTATCAAGTTCAGATCGCATCATTGGTACTGTTCAGTCATAAACTTCTGTTTTTCCTTTTCAATTTTGTTGGAGATTTTATTGTGTTAATATATTTTGTTTATATACATTTCTCTTGTATGGTAGAAAGATCATTTTTGTGGTAGAGAGATTTTCTTAAATTTTGGCAGATATCATAACCTAGTTTCTGCTCCTTATGTCCATTGCATATGGAGCTGGAAGAGTCATTGTTGACAATTCTCCTGGCATAGTGCTAATAATGGACTAGATCAAAATGTCTCAATTAAATTCTAGTGCTTCTTCTATTAGTGAAGTTTCTAGAAAAAAATATATCAAACGATGCAACGCACCTTGGGTCGCTATGGAAACAGCCTCCTTGTATAATTACAAGGGTAAGGTCTGCGTACAACTGACCCCCCAGACCCCAACCCGTTGGGAATATACTGGGTATGTTGATGTTGATGATGATGATGATCATAACCTAGTTTCTGCTCCCTTAGTAAATATGAGTCCTTAGTACTTCCAAGGTACGCATGAACTATTCCACTCTTCATATGTTACATGCTCCAGTATTTTACATGGTATCAGACAAGGGCAAAGTCCTCTTTTTCATCTCTGCTCCTAATTTGTGTTGCCACTCTAGAAGTTGTCGAGCTAACCCTAATATGCCAATCTCCTATTATCATTAGCCACAATTGTTGACCTTCGCTGCCGTTTTGACCTTCCTAGGTTGCCTGCTTTGGTCTTTCTGTCTTTCTGATTTGAAAATATCATAAACCCTATTTCGAAACTTCAGTTAAATTATATGGCTCCAACTGTTACACCCCCAAGTGTGATGTTGACTGGTCGCGCGACCCCTTAGAGCATCTAGATACGACGAGGCATGGTATTGAGGGATGTTGTGCTGAGTAGGGGAGGAATGCACCAATGTACGTAGGGTTGTCAGAAAAACCCACCGGGTGGGTAACCCGAAAAATCGGGTCGGGTATACCCGGTAGTGGCGGGTTTCGGTCATGCTTGGGTTTTATTTCTATACCCGCGGTCCGGGTCGGGTCGGGTACGAGTTTAACAAAATAAACCCATTACCCGACCCGTTTACCCGACCCGTTTACCCGGTGGATTTTTTACCCGACCCGACTTTTTACCCGCCCGATTACCCGCACACCTAATAACTATAGATACAAATAAATATACAAAAAATACATATTCCAAAAATATTAATTTAGTAACTAAAATATTTTTAAATTTTTATATATATTGAAGAATGAAGATGGGGTATATTCATATAATTTGGACATAACTTTTTGTTATTTCTTCTATTTTTATAAGTATGAGCATCATATATATAAATATAATCAATTTACAATGTTTATACAAAGAGAATAGCTCTAATTATTAGAAATAACATATATATAATAAATAATAATAAACTAGATAATAAGTTTATACGTGCATAGTTTGTTCTATATATCTACATTTTTACAACTATTACAAACTATGAGTAACTAAGTATTATTCAAGTAATATCCTATGAATAAATCAATGAAGTTGTGTTTATTTGTGAAGGTATGATAAAAGTTCAAATGCATGCGTTTTTTTATGTACATGGTCGGGTCGGGTCGGGCCGGGCGTAGGGTAATCGGGCGAAATT